CCACCTGGAGTAAAGGAGAATGAAGAACACCAAAGACACGAGAAAAGTATTAGCCCAAGAGACAGAAAGGGCCACGTAAACCAGAGACGTCATCAGCCTGAGATGAGAACTAGATGGTGCCTGGCTACCACCAATGACCACCTCAACAGGGAACACAACAGAGAGTCCCTGACGGAGCAGGAGAAAGGTGGGGTGAAGAATTCAAATTCTAGTAAGAAGACCAGACTTAATGGTGTGACTGAGAGTGGAGGAAGCCAGGAAAGCATGGCCCCTGGATTCTCTATTAGCCCAGAACTAAAACAATTTCCAAGGCCAACTCTTCAGACAGGGATTAGACTGGACTGTGGCACGAAAAGTGATACTGGTGAGGAGTGTGTCTCTTTAGCTCAAGTAGATACAAGAGACTAAACAGATAGCTTCTGTCCAGAAGTGAGATGGGAAGGCAGAGAGGGTTAGGAGCTGGTTGAATGGACATGGGGAAGCAGGGGTGGAAATGAGGAGTGTGGTGTCGCAGTATGGGGAGAGCAATTAGGGTCACATAACAATGTATGTATAAATTTTTGTATGGGAAAAAGTTAAAAAAATAAAATGGGAATGATCAATCTGTAAATCAGAAACCGGAAAAAAAGGTGGAAAATTCAGTTCAGATATTTAAAAAATTAACTTTACCAAAAAAAGATAATATGTATGGGTCTCCTCTTGTAATATCCTATTGCATATATTCACATACCCAAAAATATATTTTATTTTCTGCCTATGATGGCCAATGCTGTCAGCCTTTGTTACAATTCAGGATTTAGGCAAATCTGCCTGGATGGGCTTTGACTGCCGATATGCCAAGGCAACAAGACATTTTGTTCCTACCTGTGATAGTACTAAACTTTAAATGTCTAATATTGATTTAATGCACTCTTTTTTGTTTTAAAAAAGGCCAAAAAATTTGAGCAAATAATAAGGTGTATTTTCCCATTCTTTTTCTTGAACTCTTCTGTCTTCCTATCTAGGTCCTTTTCCTCTCCCTGCATTGTAATTGCGAATATTTTTCCATGTTCGGTTATTGGCCTTTTATTCTTCTTGCTACACAATTTCTCCTTCAGAGAACTCATCCATTTTTATAGCTTCAACTATGCCTTTACTTGAATGATTCCCAAATCTCTATCACCAATCCTTTCCTCCCTTCTAAGCACCAGTTATTTATCTCCAGCTGTTCACTGGACATTTTTACTTTGATGATTTCTTGCCTTTTCAACCTAAATATTCTGAATCCCTCATTTCACCCCAAACCACCTCCTCCTCCTGATTTCATTTTTTTATTTTCAGTAAAGAAACAGGTGTTCAGTTGTCCATACATGAAACCTGGGACCAGGGCACAAGGATGGCAACACAAATATATACAAGGTACAGAAGGTGTTAACATACATGTGTGAAATGGGCCAGGCACACCTGAGAAACTGGGAGCATTTGCCCTGGTTACCAAGTACCACCCAGTGGTCATCCATACAGAAAAGAAGACTCAGTTTTGTCAGAATTTTCAAAAACAAACAAACATAAATCTCAATTTTATAGTGACGTCTACCGGCGCCGTGGTTAAGAGCTTGGCTGCTAACCAAAAGATCAACAGTTTGAATCCACCAGCCACTCCTTGGAAACTCTATGGGGCAGTTCTACTCTGCCCTATAGGGTCGCTATGAGTCGGAATCAACTCAACAGCAATGGATTTTATTATAAAAAATTTAACCCTGTGGAAGCAGCAGAAAGTTTGTATATGAGCATGCCATCCCAAGGGCTGCCAGTCGGAAATGACTTGATGGCAACAGTTTTTTTTTTTTTTTTTATACAGACACTGAGCTAAAAGACCATTGGAAAAAATATGAAAAATGAAAGGATATATATAAGTATATAAGTATATATAAGTACTCATAGTTATGATAATGATAATAGAACTAACAGAGTCAACCCAACAGACTGGAGCCATTCCAAGACTTTGACCACTTAAAATAGTGTTCTAGATAAATGGGCTAAAAGAATTTCATCAGGGAGGTGACCAACATTAAGCTAGAACTTGTAAATCTGAAATTAAGAATTACACATTCCAAATCAGTGGAGCAAAATAAGACAAGTAACAAGGATCTACAAAAAGTGGTCCTGACTCTTTCAAAATAGGCTCAGGTTATTTCTTTCCTTCAAGATTCCCTGGGCATAAAAAAGGCAAATTTCTAACCTAAGAGTGATTAATTTCACTGAATGTACAGTCCACATGTCCCTAATTCTTACTTTATCCTTTTGTTTTTTTAGAGCTAATGTACACTGAGTTTCATTTAACAAAGTTATTGTAATAAACTTTTGGAAAAAAACAGTACATACTTCTCAAATTAGATTTTCAAAGATTGATTCAGAGATATATCATGCTGATGACATAAAGCAATCTTGTAAGAAGATCTCTTAAAGGCATCAAAAAAACACGTGCAGATGAAATTAAGCACATATATATTCATCCGATGGTTACTTATGAAAAAAATTTTAAAGTTGTTTCAATACCTCTACACTTGGGACTTTTACTTGTAAACCCAATACTAATTGAGAAAAGGAAAGAACTGTGGGAACTTAATTCAGCCAGTATACTTTTCACTATATATACATTTTTCAAAATTGCAAAGGGCATTTTTAAAGCATAAAGAAAATGAAAAAAATATAAGCATACAAAAATCTGGTTAAGTTTTATAAACACTTAAACTATCAATGGAAAATCCATATATATATATATATATATATATATATAAAATTATATGTAGCTAAATAGCTGAATAAATCAAGTAGTTAATTATGAGCCAAATAACTGAATAAATACCACCAAACTTGTATTTTATGCATGTGTGCTTTAGTAATAGTTTTTATTTTCAAATAACTACTTGGATCCGGTGTATAATTGGTTTGATTAGAAATATCTTTAAGGATGAAAATGTAAAATACATTGCATCAAATACTATGGTGTAATGGCTTTTAAATTTTTTAGAGTTGCCATTGACTTGTTTGCATTCACTTTTTAATTTAGAAAACACAAAATTTTTGAGGAGAGTATTCATATTTTTTTTAATTGGGGAAATAAATTTCCAATTTTAATATAGTATCAGTTTATTGTACTTCAAATTTCCAAAGCTCAAGCATTTCAAAACTCTGAAAGACTATATTTAGAGTGAAATTTACATATTGCATAGAGATGGAATCAGTCCATGAATATATGTTGGTATCATTCTTGCCAGTCCTAATAAAATTCTATCTTTAGAGTGTTTGAGTAAGACTTTAGTTTTACGTGAAAACTGAAACATCAAACCATTATATACCCTTTAAATGTAGATAAAATAATTTTACTTCCACACAATATTTTTAAATGTTGACTTCAGTAAAACTTAAAAAATTTTCTGAGATCTGAAATGAAAATTCATGATGCACAAAATTATGAAGGAAAAAAATGTCTACTCCAAATATTCCATAACTTTTTTGAACAAAATCTCAGTGTTTTGATTTAATCTTTCTCATTTACATTTACATTTGCCAAGTATATGTGAGTATACAAAGTGCTTTCCCATATAATGCAACATTTAACCTATACAATAGTCTTTCGTGAAAGGTGATCTTACTATACTTTTAATGCTTAAGAGTCTCCTGGAGGTAGACACATCCTCATCATGACGTAACTAGAAAAATGGTAGAACTAAAGTCTGAAGCCCAGGTTTCCTGACTCCAGTCCAGAGTGTTCTAATAGACCATGCATGATATGTTGTGCCAACTTCTGATTAGATTTCTGTTTCCCACCACCAATTTACCCACATACAATATGTGAGGGCAATGCAAATGTGACCACTTAACATTTTTGAATTGCTCTTTTTAATTTGACCATTTATTAGATTTTACTGGATTCCTAGCTTTAAGCATAGAAAACTAGAATGTGAAATCATGTTCTTGTGTGTGTGTGTGTCTGCATGTGAGTACACAAACGCACACACACACGTATACATATAACAAATTTCTACAGAAGTAAATGTATTACTTCCTTTTAATTTCTTTAAAAGGAACATTGCTATAGTTATGAGAAGACTATAGAAAAAATGGGAATCTCAACAACTGGGCAAGAATCAAGGTTTTAGTAAAATGGAAATGGATAGGCAAGGAAGACATAAGTTTATGTATAGGGATAGATAGACAGGTAGATAGGCAGGTAGGTATATAGATAGATACAGTCAGCTGTGTGGAACCCAGTCTAGACTGTAAATGTATAATTCCTATGGGTCTAAGTTCTAGAGGTGGAATGGCTTGACCAGGTTTTATGAGAAAGGAATACTAAACTGAATAAGTGTGTAATTCTGTTACTTAAATTGGCATGAATCTACTCCATATTACTACAGTTCCCTGGCCTTGTATGTTTACATGGACTATTTTTGTCTAACGTTGATATAAAATTTGCCGAGTAACAATATAAATTATATTAGCCTCAGGAGGGAAGTCTGCTGTTGACTTCGATGGAAAATGTACCCACAAAGACATTGGAATAGATTAGACTTAATCTAATTATCTAGCCTTGGAGTTATTTACAACAAGTGTTTTCTTCCTTTCTCAAAATCCATTTTGTCTTCTGCTTGATTTAACTGTAGACTTGAAATCGCATTTTATGACACCAGCCTGTCACCCTGAAAATAACTGATACCACAGATGTGGCACTGAAAGTTCAATTCAGAAACAAAGGGGAACCTAGGATGGGCTCTCATGGGCTTCTGATCTTGTCTGAAGAATTGTCTCTGGCTTCTGCCTTGTGGGTCTCTCTAAGGGAGGTTAACTTAACCACAGACTTAGCTCACTCCTCGGAGGCTACTTCTTCTGTGCCAAGTGGAGGATGCTTAGTTCCCTGGTCCTTCAGATTGACTTTCTGATCTTTCAGACTTTGGGAGACTGTGTCAAAGTTATTATTGGAAAGATTATCTCCTCAAGTTCCTGGCATTCCCTAATAGCTCTAGGACCTTTGCGCACACTGTACGAATGCTCTTTGCATTTGATGAGAGGCACAAAGAACCAGGCCCAGCACAAGCCCACATGGGATAAAGTGCCACGTGATTCAATAGTACATACATTTGCCTTGGATGGTGACAGGTGTCACTTTGGTCCACAGGCCCTGGGGATAGCGTCACTCATATGCTCATACGTATGCACACTCAATTAAATCTTGCGTGCATCCTACACCTCCTAACTGCAGACCAACCAAATTTCCTTTGGAGTCACGCACACAATATGCAGAATGGTTATGCAGGCAAAATCCATGGCAACAGCACATACAGCTTGTTGATTTTATTTGAAAAATAAGTTTACATTTTTTTGGCTTTAACTTTTTAAAAGATACGATTTTTTAGATTCAATTCAAATGTGAAAAAAATAGTGCTGTACAATTTTTGAGCAGTATCTTATCTTGGGCCTTTATGAATAACGCAAAGGCTATTCAATCTTCCCTTTAGAAATCTTAGAGGTATTTTTTTATGCTGTGTACATTTTAATCCACAAGAATATTTTCTTCTCATTCCCCTAGATACCTTGGGACTTTTTTTTTTTCTTTGCAGATACCTCAGAGGACTGTTTAAGATCCTATTCACTTCATCCTCTCTTACCTTCACCTGAAGGGCAAAATACCTAAAATCTTGACACAAATACTGATAAATATATGGAATTATTAAAGGTGCCATCTCAGCAGAAGAAGATTGCTGCTGCCTTTGTTCTTGGGGGAATACATACATCACCTAGTAGCAAGACACCCAACTGCTACAGTCAGAATTCTCTGAAATGCCTTTAAGCTAATCATCTTTGAACAGAAGCCTTTGTTGTTGAATAAGGGACCTTCTAGATGCAAGGCACAGAAACCCTCTTTTATTATTATTATTTTGTTTTTTTCTCTACCTTGCACAAAACAGCATCAAACCTGTCACCACCGACAGTAAGGTTCAGTGCTCTGTCAGCATTCACCCCGATGAAGACAGTGAGAGAAATCCTAGCTCTGGAGAGTTCAGGAGAGAACTAGTGTGTTTGCAAAAGAGCATTTTTATATGTTTTCTTGTGACAGCACTAGTTTAACAGAAAATAGTTGGAGTGTGCCAAAAAAGGAAAAAAAAAAAATGAAAGACAGTAGTAGTAAGTTAGGCTAGCATGACATGATGGATCTGAGCTATGACAAACCGAATTGGAAAAAAGCTTCCCTGGGGACCAACTATACCAGGTTTGCTGAATTGTATTTCTTGATTTCTTACTGTGCAACAGTGCTTTTTACTGTTAGATTGACTAGGCTTCAGAATATTTTTAAAATTGTACAAATCAAAATCCATGTAGCTTAAAAATGAAGGATGTAAAAGGTTTAGGAGTTTGATGTATTGAAAGGCATTCTGTATTCCCTCATGTGAGTATTAAATATACACTTTGTCTGTTTAATGAATTTCAAATCTTTGTGGAAGGCAGTACACACCATAGCAGTTTACAGGGCTGAAAATCCTGGGTGGAAAGAAGGACATCAGCTGCAGAGATTCAAAGCTTCTTCCTTCTTATCCCACCCAGATGTGCCCAAGAATTAAAACATGCAACATCTACAGGATCTCACTTGGTCCAAGATGTTTCTATAAAATCCAAGAAAAGAAACTTTAAATCTAGTGGCCTCTTAACAAAGGTGTGATGCATTGTTCTTATTCCTTATCCTTTTAATTCTTACATAGAGGTTCTCACACACACCTGAAGATGAAGTTAAAAGAAAAAAAGTGAGGCAGAAGATGAGAAAGGAGAATTATTTCAGCAGCCACTAAATTTGTCTAGTTTGCATATCCCACATGACACCAAATAGTCTGATTCTTGAAAATAGTCATCTATAATAAGCTTTGAATAAATACCTAAGTGAATGGAACATGTTAGAACTCAGATGACTTTAGGTACTTGAGCTACTGAGGCAGAAACAATTTTGGCCCCTATGGTCAAAGAGTAGGAGTCCTGGTGGTGCAATGGTTAAAACTCTCAGCTGTTAACCAAAAAGTTGGCGGTTTGAACCCACCAGCTGCTCTGTGGGAGAAAGATGTGGTGGCAGTCTGCTTCTGTAAAGATTTATAGCCTTGGAAACCCTATAGGGCAGTTCTACTCTGTTCTATAAGGTCGCTTTGAGTCAAAATTGACTTGAAGGCAGTGGGTTTAGTTTGGTTCAAAAAGTTTATAATCGATTTGGATAATTTAGGAAATTGTCAGAGTGCAATGCAATATGTGCCAAGTGATGACACTCAAAAAAAAAAAAGTAAAAATGTACTTTTGCTAAAAGTAGATAGCACCCTATCTCTTGGGCTCAGTCAACACGGATCCACGACTTCCCCATCAACTATTCACGGTCCAAAAGAAGGAGTAGAGGAAGTGGATAGTGAAAACGAGTTGGTTGAAGTTTAATAAAACAGATCTTCAGATCTTAGCATTGAGGAATGAGAGCTAAATGATAAGACACAGTGTCAGAAAACACTAAAGTGGGAGCTACAAACTACAGTCTTAAATGTAAAGGAATAAAGTGGTATGGTTGAAGTACTGAGGAAAATAGGAAGTGGCAAGGACAATTGCAAACTAGAGTTTGTCCCACCTGAAAAAAATGCAGCTGCTATTCAGCTATAGCCAATTGATGCATGCAGGAATATGGGGGCAGTATTGTAGTTAAGGGCTCAGCTGCTAACTCAAAGGTTGGTGGCTCAAACCCATTAGCTACACCGTGGGGGAAGTTGTGGCAGTCTGCTTCCATAAAGATTTATAGCCTCGGAAACCCTATGGGGCAGCTCTACCCTGTCCTATAAGGTTGGTAGGAGTCGGAATCTACTCATTGGCAATGGGTTTTTTCGTTTGTTTATTGCCAAATCTTCTGGTTTTTCAAGAGAAACCAGAAAGTTCGGTTTTACCATGAACTCGCTTCATTTTAAATATTAGCAAACAATTTAAAAAATTTTACACATTATGTTGGCCAAATAAAATACACACAAGAGTTGTATTTTGGTCCATGTACTTTTTTTTTTTTTTAACCTTTTTTAGGCATAATGAGTTAGCATGTAATCATGGATACAGCGTATAGAAGAATCTTTGAGTTTGAGAACGTGGAAGATAAACTGTTCGGGGTAATTGTGAGTCATACAGTTTTAGCAGTAGATGCTAGAGTGTAGGGCTGAAGAAACAAAAGGTATTAAGCAGTCAGGGAAATGGGGGCTATTAGAGAGGTAATTAAAGTAGCTGGATGTTAGCAGGTAACAAGGTAGAGAAGAAGAGCATCAGCTAGTGTTGTTATTATCATCAAGGAATATTGAAGGTTTGTGTGAGAGGCTTTGGATGACAGAGATAAGGAAGCACATAAGAAGTCATAAAGTTGTCAACAAGATTATCAATGCAGTTACTTGTCATGCATGGTCTGGAAGTGGTACTGGGCTGGTCACAACAGACCCAAAGTCTAGGTAAGAAAAACTAGAGAATTATTAAAGAGAGCGAGGAAGAAGCTTCAAATAAATTTGGCCTTGAGATTCTAACTGATTTTCACTCAGTTTGATGATTTCTATTTAAAAACAAAATCAATTGGTTAATTGAATTCAATTCATTCACAATAATTTATTAAAAATTTACTGTTGGTAAGGTATTGGATTAAATAGTGGAAGCGTGTCTTGGGGGGCGGGAACAGATAGGAATGAAGATAGATGAGCTATTCTGTCCTCCAAAAAAAAAAAGCCCAAACCGGTTGCCATCAGGTCGATTCCAACTCATAGCAACCCTATAAGACAGAGAAGAACTGCCCCATAGAGTTTCAAAGGAGCACCTGATGGATTTGAACTGCCAACCTTTTGGTTAGCAGCCATAGCTCTTAACCACTATGCCACCAGGGTTTCCATTCTGTCCTCTGGTGTTTAAAATCCAAAGTAACACGCAGGCACACGCTCACTTTTTTTTTTTTGTTTTAATGCTAAGTGCTATGACAGAAGGGCTAAGAGTTTTCTATGGTAGTTCAAATTCAAATTATTGTTTTCAGATCATACAGATTTATTATTTTTTATCATGTTATAGTTTTTTCCCTAATTCAAAAATATTACAATGCATCATTATGTAAGTTCCCTAGGGCTGCCATAACAAAGTACCATAAACTGGGTGACTTAAAACAGCAGAAATTTATTCCCTCACAGTTCTGGAGGCTAGGAGTCCAAATTCAGATTGTCAGCAGGGCCATGCTCTAGCTGAAGGCTCTAGGGGAAGAGCCTTCCTTGTCTTTATCAGCTTCCTGTATAGGGTCTCTAGGAGTCAGAATTGACTCAATGGCAGCGGGTTGGGTTTGGTTTTGGTTTGATAGCCCCAAGAGTGCCTTGGCTTATGGCAGCATATATCCAATCTCTGTCTGTCTTCACACGGCCATGTTCCCTCCCTGTCTGTCTGTATCTCTTCTCCTTTTATAAGGAACTAATAAATACATTGGATTAGGAAATTTATATTGGATTAGGGCCAACTCTACTCCAGCATGACTCATGTTAACTAATTGCACCCACAGAGGGCCCTATTTCCAAATAGGTCACATTCACAGCTACTATGAGGAATATGTTAGGAATTCAACATCTCTTTTTGGGGAACACAAGTCACCCCATAACAATTATTATCTGATGGGTTCTCATCAGATATCCCCAGTTGCAAGCCAGTGGGAGCACCTGAGAAGATGTCCTTTTCTTCCTCTCGCTTCCCTTGTCTCTTTTGCTAAGATCTGGCTAAAGTAAGCACTCAGCAAATGTGTGCTGAGTTCAATGTTTTAAATAGGCTGAACTGATTTGAGTCCAAATTGATTACGTTTGAAACTTTCCCCCTCTGTGTCTACCCATTTTATCATTGTCCTGCTTGGTTAAGAACACCAAAGCCTTCCACTCTTCTCCTGACTAAGGCTGGAGTTGAGACTAGCTCAAAAAAAGTAAATTCTTGGTAAAAGACTCCAACATCTTCAAAAGCTGTATATGGCTACTGGACAATATTTAACCAGTAAATTCAGTTAAGTAGATGGACTTGACACGTTTTACAATTATAGAATAAAAGTATTTTAGAAACTGGGAAGTTTGTAAACATTTTTGGAAAGCTGTAACCACCTCTTACAGGAATGTGCATCTCTCAGTGGCGCTAATTGACAGGTGCAGCCAAGAGCTCCCGAATTAATCTCAATGAGTATAAATAAAGTTCGACTCTGCTGTCCTATAAGCACATGCCATTCTCATTTTGAGATACAGATGCTTGGGCTTTGCAATGATTTACCAATTTCCTCACGCATTTGGAGTGAGCACTAGCTTCAGTCCCATAACTTAGTATATTGTATAAGGGGAAAGTTAAGATAAATCTAATTGCTTTTATATGAGTATTTTTGCTGTTTTTAAAGTTAAGTTCCTTGTTTACCAATGTATTTTTCAATATGAAATGCAGGAATATGCAAACATTACTCAATAATTAGATCCATTTACACCTTGGACAAGGAAATAATAGGTATGCCACCCCTATTATTCATTCACTGTTGGATTTGTATCTCTTTGGTTTGGTTTTATTTATGTGTAAATATGCATAGTTCAAAACTTGTTAGTAGCAACACTAATAATGTCATTTATATGCTTCACCTTGTCCATTTAAAATGGATTGTTCTATTTATAGAGTAACATCCTGTAAAATTAAATTAAAAATTTTAATAGAAACTCATAGTCCTTTTAAAAATTATTACAATAGAAAGAGGGTGATTTTTTTCCACAAATTATTCCCAAAGCAACTTTTTAAAAATCCTTGTTAGTTATAAAACTTTAAAATAGTCTTATTGATCCTTTAAAATAATTATTTATGTAAAATAATTTATGGTAGAGTTTTTAATACTTGAAAATATATTCTTAAAATAGGAATGTTACAAGACCATTAATTTTAGCAGTGCTAGGCAGCACAACTATAATTTAGGAGCTACTGTTGATTGTTTCCAGAAATATATATTGACCCCATTAGTTTTAAGTGATAATATTATTAAGCCAAAGTATTAATCCAACAGTAGCAGAATTACTGATTTTAATCAGTTTTTCCCTTTAAACCCTTTCTTTAGCATTTGGGTTTTATTTAGCTTATCATACATATAAATCTTTAAATCAATTATCTTAGAACTCGCGTTCTTAAACTTATCACATAGCAAATGCCCATGGAAGCTCTGGTGCCTACTGTCTTTTGTTTGTTATAGTCACTTTGTTGTGTATTTTGGGCCTGATGGTATTGATGCCACTCTCGGACATTGTCTCATTCATCAAATGGTCACCCAGAGAAGGTGAGGTCCAGAGAAGCCTCCTGGCCAGGAAATCATCCATTAAATCATTTATTCATCAAGAAATGTTCTCAAGAAGAGGAAGTAATTAACAACAATAGCAGCTAACATTTATTGGGTCCTCATTATGTGCCACGTATGGTTCTAAACCCTTCACATGTATTCACCTATTTAATCCTTACAACAAATCTATGAAAATGGTTTTGTGAAGCCTCTTAGCTGCATTTGTAACTGTTACATATTTAGACATATGGCATGTACATCTCCACTTACATTCTTGTCTTGAGCCCCATAAATGTTAGGAGTAGGCCTGATGGAGGCCACCCCCACACAAATCTATTTTGTACCAACAAGAGTCTCATTTGTATTCATTTTGGCAGGGGTTAGATTCAACACTGATTCTAGAGTTTTAAAGCACCTCAGTGCATTAAAGACGTCAGGCTTCGTTGCTGATGGATATACTCCAATAAGCACCTGGCGAAAGGCAGAGGGTGTAAGTTTCTCGGTATGATTCAAGGCTCTGAGTGGACTAAAAGTAATTTATATGTTGCAAATATTAAGGATAAAAGGATAATGTGATGGGGTGTTCATATTCGGATCCAGGTTTGGGGATTTTTTGATGAAAGTTGCTTAACAACAACAAAAAAATGTATACATAAAATTAGAGATAACTGCGATATCAAGAATACATATTTGGAGACACACGCATACACACAGGGAAACTGAGGCACAGGGACATGTGTAAATCCCCCAAATCCACATGGCAAACGTCAATTGGAATCAGTATTCAATTCTAGGCAGCTATTTCATCTCTCATGAAAGATTAAAAAATACCACTTGAGAAGAAAGGGGAAAAACAGGGTGGGGGTATGGGGTTGGAGATCATTTTCTTCCTGAAAGAAACTTCCTCTCACTAGACTTGGCTTAGATACACAGTTTGTATCTCTTTAATTCAAAGCCCCTGATTGTTTCCTTATAGGATGTTCCTACTTGTCCATGTTTTGTGGCTCAGGAGAGGGAAGTACTGAAAAATGACCTCTAATATCAAGGAATTTAGACACTGTTGAGGAGAAAAGAGATTCGAAAAGGATAGAAAAGGGCAGTCATTATTAAAGGGCAACTAGAAGGTAGGGAAGAAGATTTCAAGGAAGGGTGGAATCATTACATGAAGAACTATCTAGATACAGTTCAGGAGCCATGTGAAGCTTTAGCTGGTCCTTAAAAAAAAAAAATCGGCAGGATTTCGTGAGTGGAGAGGAGGTCCAGAGGATTTCAGAGGAGGAGAATAACGGGAGAAAGGATTCAGGTGGATAGAGACAGTATTTGTAGCAGCATGGCTGCAATAGAAGGCAATTTTGGGAATTAGTGAGAGTTGTGCCATTATCCGTTTTTATTTTAGAACTTATTTTTGCATAGATTTTTAATTCTATGTAACCATCTGGTAAGGCCTGGCACTCTATGATTTGTTGCAGTAGTAGTGTTTATCTAAGGAGCTACGTATGTCGGCACAGGAAAATGAATGCTGGGTTCTGGGAACAAAGGCTGGAAAGGGATTTCCAAACAACTGCCGCCTTCTACTCGTTTCAACAAGTGTGTGCATTAAGGAGTGCGCGTCGTTGCCACCACCACATTTCTGGGCCCCTGGGGCTTGTCAAAGAGGACTTAACCAACACCTCAGTGTTCAGTCCCTCCTGCTTCGAACTACCTTTGTAGTAACTGACCAGCCTTAAGCACCTATATCACTTCTCATCTCTGCTCTCTCATGCAGAGAACACTTCATCCCTCCTTCAAATCAAGGGATGAGCCCCTGGAGGACATCGAGTGAGTTCTGAATTCTCTGGGGAACCACCTCTGACCATTACTGTTCTTCTTTGTCAATCACAGAGCACTCCCAGTGACATCATTGCTGTTTTCTGTATTATGTTGTTGCTGTAAGCAGCATGAAATTGACAAGGAATGGCACAGAGAAGAGCTGAAAGGGCACTTCTGCTTTTTTGATGCATCTGACACCTGTAGTTACAAGACAGAAAACAGCTTTCATAAGCATATTGCTGGGTGATGTAGAAGGTGAATGATTATTTAGAAGTAGCTTTTCAATGCAATCGCACGATAGACTCTAAACTGCTTCTGCGTCCTTCCACCCGAAGAGTAGTTTCCTAAGTAGAAGCAATCTGGTGGGGTAGTTTCCCAGAAGGCTTTGGCTAAGGAGTTAGGCTTCAGTGCAAACCTCAGAACTGCTTTGGTCTAAGGAGATGGGGGTCTCGCTCTCTTTGATTTCAATAGAATATGCCTTTTGTTCTTAACTTCTTTGCTTGCTTGTGTTTCTCCTATTTGGATAATTATGTTATAGATAGAAAAGCTAGTGTCCAAAGTGAAAAAGAAAAAGATATCCTGATGTCTTCTTGGGGAGCCTCTCCTAAGAGTGTCCCAATAAATATGCCTAAATTCAATTTATTATTACTATTGTTACAATAATGGTAACTCTAACAGGTAAGCAATAGCAAATGAGGGGAGTTAACCCCTAATAAAGTTAGTTATATTGATAACTGCGGTAGTTTTAACACTCAGTTTACAGGCTACAAAATTGACGACTGATCACACTGAGAGATGACAAGTTTCCACACCATTGATAGAGCACTGACCCTGAGCAATCATACTGAGTCTACAGTATTCAGTAGTTGAACATGGTTAACTCTAAATCGCCACCTTTCTGGAGCAGCCCACAGTGTGGACTCCTTCTTGATACCTCTCTTCCGAGTGGCTTTTGTGACACTGTCATTCCGATCTTTCTCCTGCTGTCCTATCCGTGATTTCCCCCTTTTCTTTGTGTTCTCCTTTACCCCTTTATGCTTGAAAGAACATTTTTGTCTTTAGCAGCAACGGGGAGCATTTTCAGGTGACATTAGTGACTGTCTCTCTCACCAGTACATCCTTCTGTTTCAGCTTGTTACGGTGAATTTAAGTTGCATAGTGAGAAAAACCATCATCAGCTTTGCTTACAAGATAGAAATATGAAACAGAAAGAGAAATGTCCCCCTGTAATTATTCACGTATCTCTTGCACAGTGGCAACTAAGAAAAATACAGCTTATGTACCCCAAGGTAGTCCAAATATTCAGCAGAGAGCTGGATTATTTCACCTACATCCAGTGAAGTAATAATCACAAGGAGTCCCTGAGTGGTGCAATCAGCACACTCGGCTTCTAACCAAAAGTTTTGGTGTTTGAGTCTACCCAGACATGCCTCAGAAGAAGGGCCTGGCAATCTACTTCTGAAAAATCAGTCATCGAAAACTGTATGGAGTACAGTTCTACTCTGACACGCATGGAGTCATCAGGAGTTGAAGTTGACTGATGGGCAACTGGTTTAATAATAACAAATACAAACAACATCCACAACAAAACAGTATTACTGAGGACATATTAGGTGCCAAGTACTAGGCTACGCATTTTGCAGACAATATCTCATTTAACCCTAGCCAACAAATTGACTATATTCAGTTGTGATCTTTCCTTGATATATGAGAAAACGGAGAACTAATTGTCTAAAATCATTCAACTAATAATGATACAGGGAATTCTATTATTTCCCACAGAAGCCCTGCATTTTAGATTGGTTTCTCTTGGCATTGTCTCTCATATAGTACATTCTTGTTTCTGCCTTTTGTTCAGGCCATTCCTCTGCATTCTTACATTCTTTTGTAGATTGACCTTTGTAATTCTTAAATTACATTATGCTGGCTTCATAGGTATCGTTCTCTCCAATGGGGGTCCCTTACTCATCTTGCTATTCCCTGGCACATACTGGGTTACCAGTTGCTCAAAAAAAATCAAAGGTAATTAGATTTGATGTGTTCTCTCTTACTGCCCTTCTGGCTCTAGATCATGTCCAGTCCTCAGGTACCTCATCCACAGGTGTATTGCTGTGAAGACTCTGGGACTTCAGTCACAGAATTTCCATGGGGAAGAATTAGAAAAAGGTACTGCTAGGATTACACCTCAAATGAGCATAATTCCTAGTTAGCATCTTAAAATACTAAAACTGTGTATTATCCTCTTAGTGCACCACGGTATTGACAGCTCTTTGTTTTACCTTATCATTATAACATCATCTCTGAGAATTTCCACTTATATCATTACAAGATGAGTATGACAGCTTCACTAAGCCTCATTCATGTGAATGGAAAATTAGTGACATAAAGAAAATTCCTAATAATTATTTCCCAAGACATATTGGGACTTTTCAAACTTAAACTCATTAAACCAATTTGAATCTCACTACAGCAAATTCACAAAAGCTGAGTGTTCTTATTAATATGTCAGCCTATGCTACTTTTAGGCAAAGATTAAATCAGAAAATATATTCGTAAAATCCACATGCCTCATTATTTATATGGCAATAGTGCATATGGATCTAAACACTTGGGAAGTAATTATCAAAATAACTCATATAGTAAACTAAATTATCAAAATAATTTAAATAGTAAACCACACACCATGCTAGGTGTTTTACAGTCATAATCTTAGTCAGCAAGCACAACTGCCCCAGGAGAATTTTTGTCCCCATTTTACAGGTTTGGTAATTGAGTGACCAAGATGTTAAGTAATTTACCCAGGGTCACACAATTAGTATGTGGCAAGAACCTTTTTGGGACACACTTCTGATTGACTCTAAAATCCTTGTTATTTTAACTTTGCCACAATGCTGTGTTAATTCACAATTCCAGTACTGGGTCTGTCCTTCTACCTTTTTTTTTTTTTTTTTAATCACAAGAGAAAGAAAAAGAGAGTATGAGGAAGAGAAATAAGTACTGAGTTTTCTTATTAAGTTCCAGCTCAAGATCTGAGAAAAAAATAATCGAGGAATTGTTTTTTTCTCTGACTGCTATAACAAATTACCACAAACACAACAAAAATTTATTCTCTGACAGTTCTGGAGGCCAGACGTCCAAAATCAAGGTGTCAGCAGGGTTGTTTCCTTCTGGGGGCTCTGAGGGAGAATCTGCTGCATGATTCTTTCCTAGCTTCTGGTGGCTGCTGGCAATCCTTGGCATTTCTTGGCTTGTAGACACATCACTCCAATCTGTCTGTCATCACACGGCATTCTCATCTGTATCTCTGTGTCTTCTCCTTTTCTGTCTCTTCTAAGAACACGTATCATTGGATTTAGCGTCCACCGTCATCCTGAGATCCTTGATTACATCTACAAAAACTCTTTTTTTCAAATATGGTCACATTCACAGGTTCTAGGTGGACATATCTTTTAGGGGAGCCCACATTCAACCTACTACGGGGATGATTAAACTTTATTTCCTCAACCTACCTGTTATGAGAAATATTTGAACAAATGCATAGTGCAATAATTAAAATCAGAGAAATAATGACTGTGTATGTATGTTTGTATTATATATGTTACACACACATATAGGGAGAGAAAGAGAGAGAGAGAGACAGAGACCTCAGCACTCTGAAAAACTTGTTTGTATAGTTGTTTTCCCAATGACTGAGATTTTTCTCTTTAAACACCAATAGAGAAAATATTCAACATTTTGGATGGAAATACTCTAAATATTTATCACACATTCTCATGCCCTGTATGTATATAATCTAATGTAATGCTTTCCTGATGATCTCTCATTATAAACATACTTTATCTGTTACATATTTTTATAGGCTGCCCTCAGTGATTATTGAGGTGTGTGGACTATTGAACCCTACATTAAACAGTCCCAGAATTTTTATAGGTTTTCACTCCTTAGTTTCATCTTATCTGCCACTTCTTTCTACAGTTTATGTTTCCTTCAGTGGCATTTCTTCTTTTTCTATTTTGCTGTAAGTTGAAAAACCGACTTTCTTAGAATTGTGTCTAATATAAACATTAGCAGGCCTTGAATGAGGATCTGAAAAGTTCTTCTGTAAGCAAAATACAAGTGTTTTCCATGAATGTGTAAATAAAATGTGGTGAAAATTAACAACAATAAAAATAAGGTTGTTTTACAGTGAGTTAAGACAAATCAAGTGGTTTATTTGCCTGGGGAATATTTATGGTAGATTTCGAAAACAACCTTATTGGAAAGGGTATTTGAGTAATAGTGGTGGTGGGGTACATGGATGTTTCTTTCAGGCAGAAATCAACATAGAAAGTCTTTTTTCTCTTTCCTATAACAATAAAAGTCTATAAAACCCTTGAAAATAAATGCAGCAGCAAGGTAATTCCTATCTCTACAACTTTATTAAATAACACCTACTAACTGAAATAGATTATAAAGGTAAAAGTGTTGAACTCTGTGTAGACAAACAGCAAAGCCTCATTTTAAAGGGACAGACTTTGAGCACTTTGGGGCAGAAAGTCTGGGGTCTTCCTTTAGGAAGATTATCAGCCAGATACCTACATAGAAGAGGCTAGACCGATACGGCAGTTGGTACACCATTCAGTTCCATTCAATTTTAGCCACTGAAAAGATGAACAGGATGCAGAACAGGATCAGGTGTGGCCTTAGTGAGGCAGAATTAATAGGTTATATTTTACACTGTTTAATAATAAGTTTCCACACATATTAACGTGTAGTAAACTGTATGTATTTTATTTTATTTATGAGCCCAAGGTCTAAGTGTTTATTTTGTTATCCTTATAAGATCCTCAATGTATAAGTTGGTGTCTCCCTAATTGATATAGCAAATAGACTCTAAATGCATAAGCGGTCAGCCAAAATAGACGTTTATTTATTACAAACATTACGAGGAGAAGGGGCCCTTAGATAGGAGCTCTCCTCTATGCAGTGATTCTGGGACACTGGCTCCTTGCATGCTGCAGCTCTTCTTGCTCTGGAGGCCTCATTATTGCTGTCTGCATCCAGCAGCTGGCGGGAGAGCATTAGAGAGGGCAAAACAGCTGCTTTAAAGCTTTGTCCCAGAAATACCACAAATCTCATCTCTCTACATCCTAATGACTAGAACCCAGACATATTTTCACCCAACTGCAAAGGAGGCTGGGAAATGGAGTCTAGTTGTGTATCCAGTTTGAAAAGGAGAACACAGCATTCTCAACCACACTGTTATAGGACCTATTACGGAGTATTGGATTTGCCCAGTGGTGCAAAGAACTAACTCACTCAGTTGCTAATCAAAAGGATGTAGGTTCAAGGTCACCCAGAAGTTCCTCAGAAGAAAGGCCTGGTGATCTACTTCTGAAAAATCAGCCATTGAAAACCTATGGAGCATAATTCTACTTTGACACACACAGAGTCACCAAGAGTCAAAATCAGCTTATGGAAGTATAGAGAATTACCAAACCAAAAAATGTAGCAAAGGGATCATTGTATTGATAGAGTATCCACATTGATGAAAACCTTAAAAATGTGTATTCGAAGTTTGACTACACTTGTGTCAATGCGTAAGCCCTCAATGTGAACTCTAATTTTTTTTAGTGTCCTATTTGTTTTTCTCCAGTGACTACTTCTTGGCTAAATTCCAAATGGGTGAATTTGATAAGAGGTAAATATTGATGAGGTGTTCCTGAAGTGTGTCATGTCTAATAACCAAACTCCAAAACTATATATCTGTGATCAGAAACTTAATATTTTCATTTATTTTCACAATTTATTAGTTGTTAGATAATTAAAGAATTGTTAAATGTCTCCATGATAAGTTCTAAAGATAATGCACAGAGCACATTTATCATCTTAGTAAATTTATCACTCTCTTAAAGGAAACAAAAGCACTAATAAAGAAAATAAAAGTCAATATTTCATAAACTTCAGCAATGTGGATAAAAATGGTCTCCACAGGTGGCTCAGATCACTTGATAGATGAATGAGATACAAATATTGCCACTGGTATCTCTTTAAAATATCTTCATTTTTAGACTTTATGACATAGGACATTTTTAAAGGCAAAATTGTTTCATAATGAAAATTGTTTAATGCTAACTCAGCACTGTTTGTGGGTTGCAAAGAGTTACAATGTTACTGAGAATCTGTATACACACACGTATACATGAATATTGATTGATAGGTATATAGTAGATAGATAAGAGAGATGATCGGAAGAATGCTCTTTAAAGGTGTTAAATGGTAAATATCATCCCACCCAGTTTATCTAATCAACGTATGGGTCAAGGTGGTTATATATAAAAGGTTAAGAAGTTGCATTTCTAAAATAGGAGTGTGTTTACTTCTACACTCTGATGTTTATTACAAGCAAGATCTTGAATGGGTTTTTAATCTTGCTGAACCTCTTTCTTCAAGTGCTAAATAGGCATAATAACATTTCCTCCATAGGCACCTTGAAATGATTACCTGTGATAATGAATATCAAGTGCCTCCAGAGTGCATTCTTGGTGTTTCATAGCCCTTAGTCTCTTCCTCCTGCCTTCTGTGTGATTCTACACTTAAAACATCACCCACCACCACCCCTACCCCTGGAAGACACTGCTAACAAGAGCCTTTGATGCAACTGTTATTCAGATTTTACTTTTTCCTTCAAGTTAAATTTTTTAAACTCTTACATAAAAAACTATAGCTAGGTATAAATAATACTTCTTGGCTTGACTAAAAATAATTCTGACACTTTATATTCTTTTTGAAAATTTCAGTCCAATGTGGTGTGAAATTCTGGGCTGAAAATCTGCATTTCTGGTGAAAGTACTTATTTAACTTAGTGGCACAGATAATATGGAAGGTGGGAAGTAATTCTATTTTATGACTTTTTGACAAAAATGTCTAGAAGATGAAGTAGATCAGGCATTCTACAGTTTGCAGATGACTCCAAATTCTCCCAGGTAGTGAAATATCAACCCTTTACCAGTAGATAGCTGGGGAACAGAGGGATGACTATATTATACCTGCATATCTATTCTTTTCTATTTGAACTAAGAAAGAATATTAGCCTCCTTATAAAAATAACTCTTTTATCAGAGAAGAAATATTCAACTGGATAAATCATGGGCCTGGCCATAATGATGCTCTTGTGGTTTTATAATCTAAACCTACTTCGTAACTGGTGAGAATATACATAATGGCCTATATCCTTCAGCATAAACACTGCTCCTTTGTAAATAAGTATAAAATTACAAAATAAATATGCACATTCACAGGATTGTGCTAGCATCATTTCTTATTTCTAGCTTTTCCGTTTAATAATCTTTTTTAGCAGACTGGACTAAAAGTATGGTCAGTCTTAAAACACTGCTCATTGAGTTTTATGGATACTTCAGAATCGTAAGTCTTGTTTGAACCATATGAAATTGCTATTTTTATAGGTCAAAAATGGTCAAATGTTGGCCCTTCAAAGCGTTTAAATAACATGGCATTTCCAAAAAATGAGTATAATAGTTGTAAACTTACAAAGCCAAATTGTTTAGATACATCAAACTTGCAAAGCAACCAATCATCTTTTTTTTACAGTGTTTTAATTGTCAGTGGTCTCTTAGGAGAAAATAAATCTGTAATGTGAAGCGGTGGAATATCAGTGCTTTAGGGGAAAATGGTCCTTCTATACAAATGGAATTTGAGCAACTGTTGTAAACAAATTAAGAGTAATTTAAAATATATAAATATCATTTAATGCCAAGAGTATGCCACTCAAATAAAACTAGTTGATATTATATTTTAAAAGATATTTTCTAAATAAGTGTACTGTGCATCTTTCAAATTATTTTGTTATAAAACACAGTACCTAGATTGAATTTTTAACAAAGGTAACTTATTTTGAAAAAAATAATAAAAATTCAAACACCTGTTTCTCCAGCTCTTCATTAAAAACTGT